GACAAAAACATAGAGAGTGAAATACAAAAGTGTAGCCTAACCTTGTGCCCGACACCCAGCAAAAAAATTATTTCAAAATCATGCAGACAGAGCCCCGGGCTAGTTTCAAAATATATTTAGACATTCACATGCATATAAAACACTCTCAAAGATATGCAAGGGGTGTTAAATGCAAAAAATTATTGAGATGCCTTAAACATATCAAGTCAAAATAAGAGAAGCCAAATATTATTTCAGTAGAATTACATAACCCTTTCATTAACATCTAAGAGGACTAAATAATGGGTTTAGTGTTTTACATAACCATTTCATTAAATCTTAAATCTAAATTAGGTTTAGTATTTTACACATAACACTAACACCCATGTCCTAACTAATACAATGCAAAACTTGGACTTACCCCGGCCTGGATTGGGGAGTCAGCTAACCACCTAATCGATTTAAAACTATATATGTTGACTGGCCGGTCATTTATGAAAGATAGATGGATAATTTAGTTTTTGGAAATTAAGGCCGACATCTAGAGAGATCATAAGTGGCTTTATACTTATGTAGGGTGAATGTTCTTAGAGCTAATGAAATTAAATTTTAATTAAATTTATTTCTGATGAAATGCATGCTAGTTGAGAAGATATGAATCATGTATGCATAAGATTTTAAAACATAAACTTATATAAAAATAATTTTTAGAAAAGATTAGACATCCCCCGGTCCGGCACTTCATCTTCATAGGTCAGATTTTCCGGACTCTACCCGCAGGCGGGGAGGTGTCTTATAAGAATGAGAGAGAAGAATGCATTTAATATGTATGCGACCCTGGATGATTTTGGCTATTTCCTATGTCGTTAAGTTTCTAAATTATTTAATCCTTAAAATTTTAATTTTTAGTTATGAGTGGAAAAAAATTTTAGCCTTTAAAGAGCCTAATGAAATTCAAGCTAAAACAAAAGCGGCATGCAAATCGCCAATAAATTAAAAAAAAAATAAGCAATCTTAGAGGCAATCATTTATAAATAAAATATATCAAAATAATTAAATAAATTAATAAATGACCATAGACAAACTGCCCTTAATTACAAACTAGAGTCTGCAGAAAATAAAGTGGCCGGGCACCACTGCCAATAACCCAGATTTCTAAACCTAGGAAAGACGTAAATGACTTTGAGCGTGATATTGGATCTTCAGCTCTTCAGCCTTCTTGGACTTCTTCTCCTTTGCCTCCTTGGATCTCTACTCCTTGGACTCCTTGGATTCATCGTGGCTTGAATATCAAAATGAAGAGACAATTTTTTCTTAAAGGGGTATTACCTTTTCTCTTTGGATATCTAAAAGCCATCCGAATTCGATCTTTCAAATGGAAGAATACTCTCCCTCTTGAGGATGTCTTATTATTTTGGAATTCAAGTTG